AGCTTCTTCTGGTCTTCCAACTCTTCAGACATGAAGAAGCTTCTTGGATGAGAAGCGAAATGGCTTCAACGAAAAACAAGACAGTCCAGTTGCCTCTTGAAGAAAAAGCACCTTTGGGAGAACCATGGCCTGGATAAGAGTCACTAAATCAATTTTTCTCAACTTTGATAGCTTTAAAATGTGTGGACTTCAACTCCCTGAATTCCCCAGCCAGTTGAAGTTCACACATCACTTTTTTTTAAAAAGATTTTTTTTTAATTTTTCAATTACAAAGATAAATACTCCATCTTTCCTTATGCAATGTGTCATTCACATCCTCATTTGCCACATCTTTCACATTCATATTAACATTATTTCCCTAAACTTAATATTATAATATATTAAACATTAAAAAAACTCTCCATTTTTCTTCTTAATATTTTCTAGTGATGATATCATATTAACATTGAACCTCATTATTCTCATCATACACATACTAACAATTTTCATCTTATTTATATCTCTACCTTAATATATTCTCTATTTATTTTTTAGCCTTCTTCATTTCCAAAGTCCTTTTTTATTCTCCAGGCATTGGTAAAATACTTCCCAAATCCTATAATATTCACTTTGCTCTTTCTCCTTCATTGCTAATGTTAATCTGTTCATTTCTGCACATTCTAATATTTTCCTTATCACCTTCTCATCAATAGGGAATGATTAAATATACATTCTCTTTATTATAAATTTCAGGTAGAGTTCCTGGCAGAAATGTTTCTGGCTTCAACTCAATTCATTGTTGGGTCATTTCTTCCAACCCTATCTTAATTTTTGTCCAAAAATTTTGCCTCTTCACATGTCCACCACGTATGATAGTAAGATCCAGGTATTTGGCGGCACTTCCAACATTTAGCTGAGTTGTCTTTAAACATCTCTGCCCCATCTTAAAAGTAGCCAAGGTTGAAAAACACTGCGTTAAATTAAGAACTACTTTTTGTAAATTCTCCTTGAAACAAACAATTGCTTTCAGATNGCGCAGTGGTTAAACTACGCTACGAGTTAAGAGAATTACTGAATTACTGAGATTTGTAAGGCAAATAGGAGCATTTTGAGCCTTATGGGTCTAAAATACTGTGCTGAATGCTTGACTTGTTTATGAGTTCCAAGATTTCATGCGTGCATAAATACATGCAGAAGCACGTGAGAAGGAAAAAGACAAGGGAGTCGGAAGGAAGGGATTACTTAACTAATTTAGTTTTGCTGTGACATAATTTACTGTATTAATTATTGCACAGTGATGATGACTTATTCATGCTTGCCTCAATGGGGAATCAGTGACTATGCATTTATGACAATCACTATAACTGTTGTTCAGAATATATGTCTTAATTCGTCTTGTGGAAGCCTCTCCACTAGAAATATTCTGGAGGGCTACATTCATTCCCCCCCCCTATAAAGTTGTGATCAAAACAGCAATTTCTCATATTAATCTGTTTCAAATTAATTTCAGAGAGAAATCAATCCAGCCGTTGCTTGTAATTTGTGTATAAAAAAGAAAGCTGATTGCTTATTAAATAGGGGGAATCAAAACTGTTTCTAACAAGCCAGCAGAATTTTTATTATGGGATTACAGGATCCATTTATTACCGTTCTTAGCTCCATGATTTAAGAGCTACATCTGGAGGAGGCCCTGCGTTCTGTGATTAAAGAAGCTCCAGATTAAAAATGCTCACAGCATGCTTACCCAGCAGGGTGCTGGGCTGGAAATGCACGGTTAATTTTGTGTTTCACTACATCTGATCGTTTACAAGCTGCTGATATGAGGCAAAGCAAAACCTCTGAATCGTGAGACTTCCAAGGGGGAATTTAGCCGGCTGTTAGTTAGGATAACAAGAGGCCAAAATCACGTTAGCTTTCCCCATTACGCCAAGACTCAAAAACAGCCTATTGACAGCAAGAAAAGTTTTCAAAGTGCATTAAGCACAATTGGTGTTTGTATGAAAGGCTTGGAAATCCATACACATCACCTGCTTTACTAGTGGGATAACGGGAGAGGAAGAAAGGGCTGTGGGTGGATGGCTTCCTTGTTGTGTGTTATTTTTTAAAAACTCACCAAAACCCATTCTTTTCATCTTCTTTTAAGTGGCAAGTCCCTCCTTCTTTACAGGGGCTGCTTATACAGGCATGGATGGGCACCTCACAGTCTCGGCCCTACGAGAAGAAAGTGAACAATTGCGGCACAGAAAAATAAGGAGGAAAATAAGGAGTTTCCTTTTCAAATGGAAACATGCCATAGATTCCACATCAACAACCCATCACTCCTGCCAACCTGTCTTCCCATAATGGAGGCCGCAACTCCCACCCCACCCCTCCAAAGACAAGAGAACCAGGCATGAGGGACGGAGAGATTCACTCGTACAAAAGGCACAACTAGCGCATTGATTAAAGAACACAGATATTTTGCTTTGCATGGTCTTCTGTACATGGGATGGGGAATCTTTGGCATGGGTGCCACAGGGGGCACCTGGAGCCCTCTCTGCAGGCATGCCAGCCATCGCCCGTGCCTGCATGCCTCCCGTCAGCCAGCTGATTTTTGAGTCTGCCACGCATGCATGGGGGAGGGGTGCATGCAGGAGGCGCGCGTGCATGCATGGGGGGGGAGTGGTCACACACGCATGTGTGGGCGGGGCACGGGGGAGATGCACGCATTGCATTGTAGGAGTGGGCACGCGTGTGCGTGTTGTCGCGTGTGCCCGCCTCTTTTGGCCCGCAACGACAAAAAGGCCGTCCCTCCCTCTTCTGTACCTTGAAGCCGTAAGGACAGGAACAACTGTAGAAATCCACAGGGTCATTGCTACAAGTCCCTCCGTTTTTGCAAGGGCTGGATAAGCAGGGGCTACATTTGGCAGGAATGGTGACATCCACCGGACCTTCAAAGGAGCACAAATCATCCTTTGGGTTACAAAAAACGAGCCCTTTCATCACCTAGCGGCATTCCACGCTTCTAGTTACCATATTCTTCAGAGTATAAGAACACCCCTTTCCCCCCCCTCTAAAAGAGGTGAATTGTTTACTTCCTACCTTGACAGGTGAATTTTTTGGAGGGAGTGGTGAGAAGGAGTTTGTCGGCCATTTCTCCGGGACCGACACATCGGGCAATGCCCGGCTCCTTGTATTCGGTCTTCACCCAGTCGGAGAGCCACTGGATGTGGCAGTCGCAGTGCAGGGGGTTCGCTCCAATCGCTCTGCGGGGGGGGGGGGGGGGGAGACAGAAGCCAAATACGCCTTTAATTCCAACCGGGTAAAAGGAGAAAACGGTCCTTTTCTCAGTCAATGTTCCCATCGCAAATGGACGGTATCCTAAAGCAGAACCTCCTTGTGAAGAGGGTCCCAATACTCACAGATGAGATAATGCGGAAAGATCGCTGAAGGCCCCTTCAGGCAGGACAGAGATGTCATTCCCATGTAAAGAGCTAAAAAAGAAAGGAAGAGGGAAACGGGTGAGAAAGGACGCCTCCTCTTGATCCAGGGATTCAAGAGAGACCCTCGTTGAAAGACCAAAAGTCCTTCCCAGTTTATGGTGTGCTACGTCCTCCCTTTGGGCATTATTTGTGGAGGCTCCAGAACCCAACTTATTTCTGCTGAATTGCATGTTTTGCATCTTTTAGCAGATACAGTATTTAGGCTTTAATTTTTTGCATTCTGTATTATTCCATTCCAATTTATTCTATTCTATTCTATTTCCGTTATGAACTGCATTTAAGCAGTGCAATTTAAATTAATTCAAATTTAAGAAGTTGTGGTATAGCATCGTTTAATATATTTTTTCAAGCATGCCCTCTCCAGCACACCACCCAAATGCACCCCCAGCCCCCTCCGGATGCAGTTGGTGGAGCATTCATGTCGCAGGCATGGCTTCTTGTAAGCACACATCAAGTACAAAAATAGGGAGTGGGTCCAGGGGTTACGAAGCAGTTTTTGTTCAAAGCGAAAGTTAAACCTGTTGACTTCATGAACCCATCCATGCTGGAAACACCATAGAAGTATCCACCCCTGCATTTCTCTGGATATTTTTGACTCTCAGTTGGTCTACCAGACAAGGGACGTCTCATCTAAATACTCACAAGGGCCAACTACACTTAGTTTTTGGAGATCTGCTCGGATGAACTAGGCTACTACCCGTTGTAAGCAGCTACGATGGCAATGGAAAATAAACAACACGTTTCCCCAGATTTTGCCATTTATGTTGCAAGAGCATAAAGGATAAAACAAAATGGGGAATAACACCCAAAAGTCACAGCAGGATTGAGCTTAAAACAAATTGCACAGTAACCAGAGTCCTTCTATCCAGAGAAATGTGAAAAATAAATAAGTTGCACAGAAAAACAAGGGTGGGAATATTACTTACAGCAGCCTAAGCGATTTCAAGCCATCAAAAGTCCGTGTTGGAATGCATCTGAGCCGATTGTAGCTGAGAATTCTGAAAACAAAACAAAATGTTCGTTTCTAAACAACGTAAGGCAATAAGAAGTTACATTGAATCCTAGGGCTGGAAGGGACCCTTGGAGGTCTTCTAGTCCAACCCCCCCTCCCTTATTTTGCCTTCTGAAGCTTTGGAAAATAAGTTGACCCCCCCTCTTTCTTGTGGCAGCACCACAAATACTGTAACTCTATGACCATGTACCCCTAATCCTTCTTTTCTCTAGATGTAGATGCTCAACTCTGTCAAAATCCTTCTGAATCGAAGTTCTAAGTGAGGCCTAAATAAACCACTCCTCTAAGGCCCAATCTTCTTCAACTTCTTCTCCCTCTCAGTTGCAACGATAGTAAAATCCAAGAAGTAAATGAGTAAAGCTTATTGCTTCGTTGAAAGAATAAACACTTACAAAGTGAGCAGCTGCGTCATGTTGCTGAAACTCTGGTTTGAGAGGGTGCTGATTCGGTTGTTGCTTAAATCTCTACAAAAAACACAACAACAACACAGCAGATTTAGAGATATAGTATGGATAATTTAAAAAAGAAACGGAACGTTGTCACTGATAAATGCAAATTAGCAGCACATTATTTTAAACAGCATTTGGTTT